AAAAAAAAAAAAAATTGAACAAACAAACAAAAAAAGACACGTGATTAATTACTTCAACTTACAAAAGATTTATGGGTGGACGTAAATATTTAATAATGTTGTTTCAAGTTCCTTAAATAATACTATAACTATGTTGTTCAAATATAATCTGTTTTATGGGTGACGTAAATATGTTGTTTAAAGTTCCTTAAAACAATTTTTTTAAAAACTATAATGTTTAAAGTTCCTTAAATATTAATATATTTAAAATATACTCATGTTGTAATATATTAAAGTCAAAACAATGTTGGAAGGCTTTTGAATTATCTAATTTCAAATTATATAAATTAATTAATTTAAATGTTTAATCTTCAATCCATGGAGTATTTTTACTAAACCCGTGAGCATGTTGTTTTGTTATTGTAATCAATTTGTACACTATTTTACTAATAAATTATTTAATATCTATGTACAATGGGATCTTTAATAATATATGATTGTTTCTTTGTCGAATACTATTTTATTGTATAATTTTCATGCATATTATAAAACTTTTATTGAATATTGCATCTTATAATATAATATTCTCCAAATAAATATATCTCGTGACTTGTACAGGTCCCGTACTATATATATCTCGTACATTGTTTATTCATTTATATAATTATAAGGATGAATAAATAACCTTAAACTTGTGCACCCCGTGCATCGCACGAGCTCTGTACTAGTTTATATCAAACGGTAAAGGTACAATGTTAAGTTAACTAAAAAAATAAGTTTTAAATTGAGAATAACCTAAAATGCATAAGTTTTTTTATTAGAAAAATAAAATTCAGGTTTTAAATTGATACCTTTAAAGTTAAGCATTGTAATGGAATTTATCGAAACCAAAATATTGTAGTTACTCAGAAATTCTATAGAGTTGTCGGATGACTCTCTTATGGAGTCATCCATAATTTTATATATTGACATGTGTCCAATGTATATTTATTGCAGGACACGTGTGAATACATCATTTGTGAATAACTATGGATAACTCTATAAGATGAGCCATTCGAGGGCTCCATAGCAGAAGCGGGTTAGTTACTATGCAACGTTTATTGGAATTGCTTGTACCTGGAGTGAAATGAACATGAGAGAAACCGCAAAAGCTACTTGTACCATATGAAAGCCCAACAAAGTCAAAACCCAGTGGCGAGGTACAACTTTCTAATCCCAGAATTGGAGAGACTCTACAACAGCCCCGATCCTCGACTTCACACCAAATTTGAGTTAGAAGAAACTCCATTGATTCGCGATCTGAGCTCAATTTTGCATTTAAAGCTTTCAGTACCGCTCGATCGGTTGTTTTATCATGAGTTATCGGAGGTCAGTGTGAAATGTTAATATGTTTAGCATTTGCATTTGTAACTAATTTGTGAATTTTTTTTCTCTAGTTAATTACGTTAAATGATGTTATCTTGATGATAGAAGAGTACTGAGAATCGTTTCGCTGTATATGCTTATGGTTGATTTTGGTCACATCGTTTTGCTGCATCTATATGAAATGGTTTGGTGAGGCAAATCTTGCTAGTGTGTAGTGTTCGTCGATCGCTATCGTGTTTTCGTGTTATCAATTTTACATAATCATATGTATGATGCTAAATCTCAAATTTAACTAAAATTTTATATTTCATGTTTTTGTGTCGTGTTTCGTGTCGGTGTTGTGTCATCACCTTTGTGTCATTTGTCTCTATAATTGTGTTTTCCAATCGTGTTGTGCTTGTTTTCGTGTTTTGTGTCGTGCTAGCCGTCGTCACCTCTAAGCTTTCTTTAAGCATTTGAGACATAGGAAGCAGAGGAAGTAATCAATTGGATGTCAAGGCCCCTTTCAAAAACTGTGACCTTTTGTTATAAATTGGCACCTTCAATTTGATACTTTGCAAGCATATCCATAATCTAGAAGAGACACATGTATCTCAAACCCTTGTATATGAGTCTATGACTATCTTTTTTCTGTATTTTGAACTCTGACTCATACGTTATACCTTTTGAACCCTTATATTCTGATGGAATAATTTGCACACAGGGATAATCGAGCCTCACGGGCTTCACTCTTCGATAACATGGATAGCCTTGAAGAGGGTGGTCTTAGGTCCTCTACTTCGTACTCAGGTGGTATTGATGATCATGACAATGAAAAAACTGTGGACAGTTTGCACGATAGAGTCAGCTTTCTGAAAAGAGTGAGAATCTTTTTCTCCTGCCTCCACATCCTCTCTTTTTTGTTTCTTTTTTATTGTCGCTGGTTATGTTTGTGTTATCATTTCCTTTTACTATGCATGCTTTTGCCGTTTGTGACATCAAATTTAAGAGACGATTGGACACAAATCACCTTGCATATCATTTTCGTTCATGCTTACATTCTAATTGTTGTCTTTCTTATCATAAGATATGAAATATGCATCTATCAACATTGGATGATCTGTTGAAGTATGATGTTATATTTCACCAAAGTGCTGCAACTGGTGGTATATGAGGATCTTTTGCAGACTACAAAAAGTAATCTTTCATAATCCATGAACAGTATTGTGGCTGTACTGCTAATAGGAATTGGTGTGTGGCAGTCTGGCAGATATAGTTGGATATTTTTTAATATTAATATTCGTATTTCTTTAAAAATCATGTTCTTCCTTTCCAACTTTACATGTCAAAGATATAACGTCATTTGGATAAAATGTCTGACAAAATCAGCTTCGTTTTGATGAAAATAAATTATGTGGCATGTAAATTTGTAGTATAGGTTTCCAAGAAAAAAGATGAGATTGAACAATATCTAATCACAATACTTGCATGAGTAGCCTTAGACGTTCCAATGAAAACTCCATTTATTTACAAGAGCTATCGCTACATAGCATTTCCGTAGTTCCTAATTTTTTTTATTTTTTTTTTCTGAATAAGAAAAGTTTAAAAAAATAGAAAAAAAAAAAGAACAGTGTAACTGAAGTACCGAACTGACCAATTAGAATACTGCAATGCGTATCGCTCTTTAGTCCTTTCTTGGGTAAAGATGAGTACATTTCGGGGTATGCCCCAGCTGTGGTTGAAATGAAATTATTCTAGTATTTATTTGAAAAGAGAATTGCCAAAAGTACAAGATATCAAAATGGGGTGTAATAATTCCATATGGATGGACTGCTAAAGGATATTTTGGGTAATTGCACATGTGTGCATCAGCCAGTGACATCTAATGAATAAATAGCTTTATGGAACCTTTTAGTAGACCTATAATGCCCTGTGTAGTTTGCCTACCCTTGTTTGACTGGTACTAGAAGAAAGCCTTATTTGTATTGACAAAAAAATATAAGTGGATGTAGCATATCATTGTATGTGCTAGGTTTGATTCATTGATATTTTGTATCCTGTGATTCAAAATCTTTGTTACTGAGTTGTGAAATAGCATCATTGTTGCTGTATGATTGAGAATCCTGTGGTATATCTAGAGCTGTAAACGTAACGAGCCGCTTGTGAGCTCAGCTCGTTTGATAAACGAGCCGAGCTCGAGGTCGCCTAAAGCTCGTTTCATTAGTGAACTGTGCACGGCTCGATAAGGTTCGTTAAGGCTCAAAAAGATTAATTTTATATAATTTTCTATAGTTCGGCTCATTAAATCTCGGGATCGGCTCGTGAAGGCTCGTTAATATTAATAAACGAGCCTAGCTCGAGTTTGATTTATGGCTCTTTTACTTAACGAGCCAACCCGGGCTTGGCTCGTTAAGGGCTCGAGCACCCTGAGCTCGAAATTGGCTCAGCTCGTTTCATGTCTGCTCTGATAAGTGATGTCATGTGCTATTACCATGTTGCTTTTGATTGTATTTGTTTGTTTATAACATTAGAGAGTAATTATGCAGGCCATTATGTAATTTCAGTGTACATGTCAAATCATTACAGAAGTTGCCAAGTGTTGATAAATCTGAGTGCTAGGCCAAACTGGTATATGGATTCAGAAATTGGAATCCACGTCTAGGATTTTGACTCTTAACACGAACATTACATCAGTTCTGTGTTATTAGCTGCCGGCTGGCTCATCAAGTACTTTTAAAAGTTTGTTTTCGTGACTGAATAATTTAGCCTCAAAGGATTAGGGAAGACGCAAGGGCATTATATTATTTGTCCTTATGTTTATCTCTATCAAGTTAAGTATTACTTTGTCTTCGTTGGCACTATTGGCAGTTGACGGGAGATATACACGAGGAAGTGGAAAGTCACAACCGTATGTTAGATCGAATGGTATGTTAATCGAAGGATGCTATGTCAGGTTGATCACTGCAATTAATAGAACACCACAAACAAATTTGTATTGCAAAATTTTGCACATGTAACTTTTTTGTCTGCAGGGAAATGAGATGGATGCATCCCGAGGGATTATGTCTGGAACAATTGATCGTTTTAAGATGGTATCTAAATATATGCTCCAAATTTGTATCAGTTGTAACTGTTGTTCGTTTATATTTCTGTTTCTGAAGTCGCAGTTCATGTTGTCTTTAAGGTGTTTGAAAAGAAATCAAATCGGAGGATCTGCAAACTCGCAGCATATTTTGTCGTTGCTTTCTTTGTGCTGTATTATATCATTAGGTGAGCATCTTTTCGTGCATCTGGTTCTATCATTTCCTTCTGTAGTGACCCAGGATTTAGTATTAGAAAAGAGAAGGTTTATAGTATTTACTTCCTAATTGTTATTTTGTGCCGCTGTGTAACTTTTAGCTGCTGTGTAACTTTTAGCTTCTGGAGTGGGTCATAACTCATTAACTCACATCTTATATTGCTTAATGCTTGCACGTTAATTTGCCTCTCTCTCCTCAAATGCACATCTCATCACAAAGGGCATAAAAACAATGGTTTAAGATTAGGGAGAAAACAAAAATTACTCGAAGAAGATAGTCGCCAAATGGAAATCAAGGCTACCACCAGACTGACAGCTCCTATCTGGCCTCCCCGACTTGTTTTATATTTGAATCTTGAATGAACTTCCATCTTTGTGTTTATTCTCATGGTGCTTTATTTAACTTTTTTTGGTTGTCTACTCGTGTTCCAGTGTCATCTTCCGTTTGTGGCCATATGCCAATGACTTGTGGCGTTGTGTGATTCAGATATTTAGCGATGATTATACGATATGCTCTTAAATATGTATTCCAGTCCACGAGAAAATCGCCAAGGCCCGCCACTGGCCTTTAATAACTATGGGCAAATCAAAGAGGAAAAAAAAAATTAAAAAAATGCCTTTCTCGATCAAAATATGTGGTGCTTGATGATGATTAGTGTTCACCCGCTTATTTTGCAGGGTTCTCTTGTATTTCTTGTATGGCTAAACTGTTGGACTGCAGTAAGTTCTTAGAGATGCAGCTGATCAATGTTTTGCACGTTGTTCCGAGGCGTTCTTTGCGTGGCGGTGATGGGTAAAACAATAAACCCGTTTTAAGGTGATAGACAATTCTTTTCGATTTGGTCTTTATGTGGTGTACTTATTAGCAGATCTAGATTGGTTACCCTTTTATGATATGGGATTAGAGTGATATTCATATTCTATAACCAGAGGTTTTCCATGTATCGATATCACTCTTCAATTATATTTACTCTTTTCTTTTTGTGGGTGTGTCAGCTCACGAGAACTTATGAATATATAGTATATTATAGGGAGATTCTACTGTCCCGTTACGAAACCATTCAATCGGGATTTGTAACCGTTAGATTAACTATCCACGACGGTTTCATGATGATCTAACGGTTACCAATCCCTACGGAAAATTGCATTTTCTCCTAGTTGATTTCTCCTCTAAATATTCGTAGGTTTTTTCTATAATTTTTTTAATTAGAATTTCTAATACTATTTTAAATAAAAGTAGTAATATATATGTGTAAAAAGTAGAATATTTTTTATTCTTTTATACATTTTATATATAATTTTTTTAAAAAAAAATGAAAAATAAAAATAACACGCAATCCACCTATTTTGTGAGAGTAATAAGTTATTATAAGTTGCCGTGTCGGTCGGGAGTCTGGAAACATTGTATTTACGTTGTACCTAGACAAGTAATTGACATCCAGTCGTCAATTTTTGTCGCATACGATAATATTCAAAATAATCCAAAAACATTGTATATATGAATATCTTGAGAAAAAAAAAAAAAAAAAAAGATATGGGTTGGTTTCAGTTAGAATTTTCTCTCTATTCACATTAAAAAAATACAGTAATAGTCATAAACAAAAGTCAGGTAAACGGTCTCGTTACGAAATCATTCCATCGGAGTTTGTAACTGTTAGATCATCGTGTAACCGTCAGAGATAGTTGATCTAACGGTTACAAACCCCGACAGAATGATTCCATAACAGAACTATAACATCTTCCCCATAAAAAAGTAAGTTATAAAGAAAAAGCAACTTTTTTTGTGGGCTCAAGCCAAGTTTGCCCTCTTACTTTTAAATGTCTACGTTTGCTCCTATCCATTGGAACTATTAAAATTTCGGCTTAGACTAATTGACCAAGTTCGCCCTCGTACTTTTAAATGTCTACGTTTGCTCCTGTCTTCGGCTTACACTAACTGACCCAATCGAATCCATATTCCAGTTTACCCAACTCAACAGTCCTAAACCCAACTCAACAGCACTGGCAGCCGCTCTAACCTTCATATTCTTTGAGAATGAGGGTGTTACCAGTGTTGATACAAGTCGGGGGCTGATTGAGGGAACCGAACAGGGACTGCCCTACTTCTCTGTTGGTGGCAATGAAACCGAGTTTCGAGATATCTGAGCCCATCGGAGTTCACCCAAATCATCACAGTATCAAATAGAATGGTGTTTTTGTTCTTATACTGATTGTAATTATTTCAGTCAGTTGATTGTTTCAGACAATCTGTTTGTTTTCTACTTTTTAATAGTAGGTATCCAGTAGCTGCTTTTCGGGCTATTTTCGTCATTGTTCGGGCTCGTGTAATTGTTGTTCGGGTCCCTTAGTTGTTGTCCACAACAAATAGGGTGTTGTTCGGGTCCATTAGTTGTTTGTGACCAAACGGAAGCCATTAAGGAACAAACTGTCGCTTCGCCTATGCCCGGGCTGCTCGTGGGCGTCCAACTAGCCAGTACAAACTATCATAACTGTTTTATACAAAACTAAGAGCATCTCCAATGGTATATCGTCCATTTGGAGATGTATAACATGGAGAAAGAGAAGTATAAAATTTTGTCTCCAACAGTAAATGTCAATTTTAGTATAATTTGACACGTGTAGCATTATAATTGGTTGAGAATAATATATATATTTAATAAATAATAAAAAATGCAATAGAAGATGTCTAGAAGTACTTCTAGACATAGAAAAATTTTTAGACATTTTGAATGCCACATAAAATTAATTATGCCACATGGCAATAAAAAGGAGCAATCCATGGACCATTGAAGATGCTCTAAACTTTTGGCTGAGAATCAACACATTTATAATATCATAACAGTTATACACGTTTCCTATTCGTCCAACACAAGATCATAAAACGAAACATAGAATCAGAATTCGCTTGGCCACGAGTCGGGTAAAAAAAAAAA